CATACATTGCAAGGGATGCTGGGGGACAAAAAGGGCAAAAGTGATACCCCTGGCTCAGCTTCACACTACACTGAAAGGAAACTATAAGTATCTTTCCTTCTTACTCAGCTTTCTGTGCACAGAGCTTCAGTCTCTAGGTGGGGTCACCCCACTTGTGGTCCTGTTGGCCTTGGAAGAATGCTTCTGGCCAACGTTGTGTTGAAGATGGGGCCCGGTCCTGCCTGGGTCCACACACAACCTGTGAGCTGCTGACATCCAGGCAATGGCGATGAGAAATCACAGCGCTGCTAGATGTATAGAGAAGGGGATCAATGACCACAGAGTAGCTTGGAGTTCAACCATGAGTCCTCAGCAAACATGGCTTCACCTGGGCGGGGGAGAACAGTAATGTCCAAGGGAACCTGACAGGTCCTGGCGAATCCAACTCAGGGATGGAGAGGCTTTGATTTCTTCATGATATCACCTTTCCCAGCAAGGATTAGTTTTGCTTTTTATTCATATGCAACATAGGTCAGTAGCATTACTCATAGACTTATCAGGCCAGATGGACATCAGAAATCTGCCCAATGTAGCATATGCTGATGAGAATCCCTGGCTTAGATCTTGGCCCATGGGTCACTTGTCACAGAGCAGGTGACCAAGTCTGTGCCGGGCCTCTCAAGCTATAGGTCTGGCAGGATGTGGGTGTCAGCAGTCTAAAGAGATCTCAAAAGTGTCTCCCAAGCTGCTGAGAGAAGCACTAGGCTGCTCTTGCTTCAGACTGCTGTTCCTATTCCCTTCTCAGGCACGGAACTCACAAGAGTGGAAACTTCAGCCACGGTGGGCTAACGAGCTGTTAGGAAGGGTCTGACTCTCTGTGTTCTGAGGGAAATCTCTGACTTGTGGCATTTGCCAGTGTCTGTTGTGTAATTCGCTTCCCGTGGTCACTCTTCAGTTCTGGTTTGCAGTCAGGAGCTGGCACATACTGGCTCCAGGCTCCACAGGCTCCAGGCTCTGTGCTGAATCTTTCTCCTCAAGGAGGTTCTTACATGGACAGCTGCCTGCAGATGTCTTCATTTGCTTGTAAAACAAAAGAGGTCCTGATCCCAGTGAGCAGCTGCTGTGTAGACCTACATTAGACGCCAAAAATACCTGAATTCGTTTGATGCCCCAAAGATCTCATCTATGACACGGATGGGACACTGAGTCTCAGAGAGATTAAATTGCTTGCCTGGGCTCCCACAGCTAGTTTAGAGATGGAATCCACTTTCACATCTTGGTTTCTTTTAGCTCCAACCCTAATTCTTCCAAGTGATATCCATCCCAGCATAATGGCACTTCGCTTCTAAGAACAGATGCTGAAAGAGGTCCTCAGGAGAACAGAGGGGACAGGATAGAGGCTGGGGACTGGCCTGCTCCTGCCCTGGCTGAGTCCACAGATATCCTTGCTCTGAATGCGGGAAGCTGCTCCTCTCACTGGGCAGGGCTGGCTCTGCCCTTCTGCTCTGAGCCCTGAGAGAAATCACTGGAGTGGGTGACTGATATTGTGATGAAGAATGAGTTGATTTCCTACCTGATTTTCCCTAAGTTTTACTTCTCACACTTTGTACCTTCAGAGCCCACAGTGGCCCATAGCCTGTCTGAGGTGGAAGGCAAGCACTTCCTTCTGTGGGTGCTGGTTTGCATCTCCTTGAAAAGTGGGTGGACCAGCTGGAGGGTGCCCTGTGCACATCCAGGATGGTGGCAGCTCTCACAGTGCAGGCCCAGAGGAGAAAGGCGGGAGCTGCTGGGTGCTGAGAATCCTCATGTCTACTCTGCCCACATCCCCACAGATCTAGGCAGCATGCCTCCTCTCACATGGGCCTTGGGCAAAACTGGGAAAACTGAGGCCAGATCATTGTCCTGGCTGGTAGGTTCTTGGGGCAGGATTTGGATCCAGGCCATATTTCTCCAGAACTGATTCTTACTTACTTAGATAGGTATGTGGGTTACATAAAGCCAGATCTCTCCTTTTCTCTGAGACTGTGTGTGATTGGTGAGCTCGAAGGGCGAGGGGCGGGACAGTGGCAGGGATTCAGTAGCTGACCACCAGGTAAAAGAACAAGTAGGTGAAGAGGAGGCCCAGACACTCCGGTGCTTGGAGTGTAAGCTTGGGACATGGCTTCAGTCTGAGTGTTCATGTGACTTGGGCAGCATGGGGTGATGCCCTGGCTGTGAGGTGGGGAGGAGGCGTCCCCCTCCCAGGCTAAGTGTGAAGATTCATTTACAGCCTCCCAACCACTCTGCTTCACCTGTTCTCTTTTCCTGGCTCTTTGTCCCTTCACAGTGCCTGTCACGATAGGCCTTGTGTATGTGGAGATAACTTCCTGAGGACAGCCTTCATATCAACACTCCTCAGTAAACGGCTGTGGCCTCCGAGTAGCTTGGTACATAATAGGTGTTCAGTTTGCAAGCATAATACAGAAAGCATCTAGCCTAGTGCAAGCAAGAAGTAGTCTGCTTTAAGCAACCTAACTCATTCAAGGTGGTCATTGTGCCCCTGAAGACCAGCCAAGAACAGTTTTCACTTTCCTCTGAAGCTATGCAGATATCCTCAGGCACCCTTACCTCCACCCACAGCAAGCCCTCCAGCTGCAAAGCCAAGCTGCCTTGTATTGCATCAAGGGAAGTGGAACTTTGCAAGGCTATTTGACAACAAATGTGAGCCACCTAGCACTTGACACCCTTATTTCTGGCTAGAGCTGGAGTTACCGTAATTGAGCGTGCTCCCCTCCCCCTCAGTGGAACTCAGAGGGCAGGAAGTGGTTTGGACAAGATGTACTCCATTCCTTCAGAACCGTGGGGAGGTGGAGGGAGGGAGAAAGTCAGTCACATGGTGTGGCCTGAGTGCATACTTATTGAGGAAATGGATGGATGGGTGCATGAAGGGATGGGAGGATGGATGGATGGATGGATGGATGGATGGATGGATGGATGATGGATGACTGGCAGACACATAGATAAAAGTACTAACTTCTCCCTCAGCTTGGTAATAAGAACCAGCAGTTTGGACTGACATTCTGGAAATCTTTAATGAGAATTTGGAGTTCTACACTCTCTCAGAGTTGGGGAAATAAATTCTTGCTGAATGTGAAATGAAAAATTAAAACCTAGCAGCATCTATTAATGAAGAGCATGGAGTGCACTGAATGAAAAATTTCTGTCTATAAGAGAGGAGTGCTCTCTTGGGGTCTGGCATGTCGCCACTCCTGCAGCTCACAGTGGGATGTGCTTCCACGGTAGGGAAATAGTTTCTGGCCGCTGCAATGCAAACTCACCATGCCCGTTTCATTTTTATCAGATTGGGGAACAAGCAGAAATATGCCTTGAGAAAAGGGAGGAGGAGGAGGAGGGCCCAGATCATTGGATTTGCAACTTGCTCCACTTGCTAACAATTTTCAGCCTGGAAACACCAGGGACTCAATGCAGTTTAATTACGTGATTCATAAGTGGTATTAAGAGCTGTTATTTAGTACTTTGCATCTCCTAGATATCACATCTAATTTAAACATATTAAAGCACACAACGAAGCTGGGCTTCCTTCTGTGAGGAAGAAGCTGACATCTAGAGAGGCTGAGGGACTCACCCAGAGCCACGCAGCCCTCCATAGTGGCCCGAGAGTGCCCCTCCAGCTGTAGCTGACTACAGCCCTGGCTTCTCACTGCGCCTTCCTGCTGTCTCCTTGAGCTGTGGATAAGGCAGGAGCGGAATGTGCCTCCATCTGTCCCACGAGTTATTATTGCTATGCTGCTCAGGGCATAGGGATCACTTTTGAAGAGCACTCTTCTAACTGGAGAGGGTCTCTTGTGACAGGATTGCCAGAACTCTCATCTGAGGTCCCCCAGCCCCAGCCACATGTGCAAAGGACCACACCGCAGTTTAATAGACTGATCAAAAAAAAAAGGAAAAAATGTAGACTGATCACTCAGCACCTCATAGCCAGCATTCTAATGATAATTGCAGACTATAGGATGTGTTCATCCTGAGGAACACTGCTGTACACACAGGACTCTTTCCCCAGCCCTGCACGCTCACTGAGGCTCTGCCTTTTCCTTCTGAGCCCCTTGGAGCTCCTCACTGCCTCTACCTCTCGACAGTCAAGAGACTTAGAAAAGTCACATGAGCTCTCTGAATGCTGTTCCTCATTTATCAACAGCAAATGACAATCACAATCTCACAGGGTTGCAGTTCCACTCTATGTTCCTCCCTGTTCCTTGGGATGGTGGACACCACCTCCCACACCCCCATGCAGAGTCCTCTCATGGTCATTCTGAGACCAAAGCTCAGATCCTTCTCTGACTAGGCTCTCTCCATGTGTGGGCACCTAAGAGAACATGTAGCTTTTCATATTCTTCAGGAAATGCTGGACATTTTATGACTGTAGAATGTAGAAACATGACGTGTTGGCCTTCCCTGTAACCCCGTCCTTAAACACACACCCTTAGGTTACTGTCAGCTGCATTCACCACCTTCCCAAAGGAGATTCACGCTGTGATGCACCCTACTGCCATCACTCAGTCTACCAGGCTCTGGATGCTGTTAGATAACATGACAACTGCAGGCTGATAGTACTTACGGGGCACCTCTATTGTGTCAGAAACTGTCCCAGGAACTTGGCATATTTTAACTCACTTAATAGGGTCCATATCTGAGTTAGATACCATCACTGCCACTTTAAAGAATTAAAAATTAAAGTCTGGAGTGGTTTAAATGCACCTCCCCACCGCCAAGGTCACACAGCTAGGAAGTCTGCGAGGAGGTCCTAGCTGTCCTTCTTAGAAGTTTTCTGTGTGCCAGGAGGCTCTTGAAGAAGACACTTGTCCTGACAGGTGTGTCCGCCCACTCTCATCCTCTCCAGCCCTCCTTTTACCCAGGACACACGCCTGCTTGCTCTTGGGAGCTCCCCCGGCTCCCCAAGGTGAGTCCCTGCCAACTGCACCAGTAGGGTCCAGAAGTCTCTCCCCACCCTGAACCCAAGATACCTTCACATGTTGGGCATGGCCTCCCCTGGGAGCTCTCTGCAGAGTGGTCACCAGGCCTGAGTCACCACCTCTCCATCAGCTGCTGCTGCTCCCGAGTGAGCAGGCGGCCAGGGCTCAGGAAGACGGGGAGGAGAAGCCCATGCTATCACGGAGCTTCTCAGTTGCTAAACTGCCACACACTTCCTCTGCTAGAAATGAGGAAGGCGAACGCTGGCAGAGGGCAGGTTCCTGTTTTTACCAGTACGCCGAGCAGACTTCTCTCTGCAAGCACAGTGAAGAGAGAGGCATTATTAATTTTTTTAACAAAGGACTTGAGAGTATAGGCAGCTTGATTCTAAATGGCCAGGGCTTTGGAAACTTGGTCTTTTTTTTTCCCTCTCCTCTAATTAAAAGGCAGACGGGGCTGTGAATTTGCTCATGTGCATCTCAGAAGCTCGTAGGCCCATGTAACCTATGAGGTTAGGGTTAGCTGGCTGCAACTTCTCTCCTGTAAATTCCTCAGTTTCTACAGTCTCCTTGCATCACCACTGAACAGAACCCAGGGCTGAGTTGCAAGGCCCAGTTCTGATTCCATGGAAACAGTTTCCACTCTCCAGAGACCTGAAGCAGTGGGCAGCACAGCCCTGTGTACATGGAGCCCCCAGTTAGTTCCCTTCCTGGGCTCCTCCCCTTCTGTGTCACTAGCAGAAGAAACCAGAAAGTCTATGGGGAAGAGTCAGTTCTCCCAGCTCAAGACTAATGAGGTAGGGAAGGAACCCTGACCAGAACCTGAAAGAAGGAAAGAAATGAGACAGAGCATGTGCAAAGTACAGGGGCAGGGGAGCTGTTCTGCAGAGTAGGTGATGCTGTATGGAGGTTCATCCGAAGGTTCGAGGTCTTAGGAGCTACGTTCTATCCTACTGAAGGTGAGCATCATGATGGTTATGACGGTCAAATGACACCCACATGTATACCCACGAGCAAGCACAATCTAGGGGGGACATGCAAGCAAGTAGAGGCTGCCTGATGTTGTGAATCTGTGGGGAGGTATATCAGTATGTGTTGTACTCCTCTGTCAACTTACAAGGGGTTTGCAATGAGAACCTATGTGTATGTATCACACAATGGCATACACATACCCAAGATCTCAGTAGTCACTGAGTGTGGCTCAAGCAGGGAGACCCAACAATGTGGGACTTCTGGATGTAGGTAGAAGAGGCTGAGGCCCGTGGGATGTCAGCTCCAGGATGGTCTGAGAACTATATCCCAGGAAGGCCAGATGACAGAGGTAGATGGTCTCTATGAGCTCTTCCCAGTCCCTTCCAGCATTTCACAGAGTGCATCAGAGGGTCCAGCACCTCATTAGCGCTCACATAGCTAATCCCAGCATGTGGTGGGGGTGGGAGTCTAAGGCCTATGACCTGTGGCCTTACCCAGTGCAGATGAGTTTGACAGAGCCTCTCCGGATAGTCATTTGGAAACCTCGCTCACAAAGATGAGTTGAAAACACCAGAGTCACATCTATATTTAGAAGCCACCATGTACTAGATAGATGCTTGTGCAGATGGCTTGTAAAAACACCCGGTCTGCGCGTAGCATGCTGGGAAGATGCAGAGGAAGTGTCAAAAGGGATCAAGGGGGCAGCTTGCCCAAGCGGGGAAAACAAGACACCAAGTCCTGGGGAAGTGCAGCTTCCTCCCACTCACACCACAAGGGAGAGAGTGTTGGGCTTACAGTCTGTGTGAGCCCTGTGATGACTTTGGATCCAATGGGGGCTGGACCCTGAAAGCTTCGCCTTGCCCTGTCATTCCTTCTGTGAAACTCTACCAGCAGAACACAGCTTACACACTGCCCAGCCGTGAGCTTGCTTTGCTCCCTTCCTCTGGAGGAGTCCTGTGGTAGAGACAGGCAGGGCTATCGCTGGCTAGGGGCTGGGGCACGTGGAGGGAGCTATTGGTGTAACTTGTAGTCTGGGAAAAACACAGTAAGGTGTTGAGGGTCCTCCGAGTATGGTGGCAGAGGCAGAGAGTGACCCAAGCAGGACCTGCAGTGTGGGAGGGCATGGGAGCCACGAGAGCCCAGCATGTCGGGTTGGGGCTTGGGGGGGGGGGCATCAGAGGCCGTGGGAAGAAAGACTTTATGTTGTCACACAGGCCTCTCTTCTGCTCCTCTTCCTGACTGTCCCTCAACAGTCCACTTTTCCTGATTTTCTCTCCTAAGATCAAGTCAAAAATACTGTCTTTGCTTTATGTATGCATTCTATCGTTCATTCATCCAACACATTTTGCCAGCACTTGCACAGAACATGCTCCATGCTTCCTTGCTCTGTTGGGATCTCACCTGAAGAAGCTGAGGCCCCTTACTTCCCTTGCCGTGACCCGCACAAGCTGACTCATAGTACCACCTGGTTTAGGCATGCAGGTACGGCAGGTGGCATGCTGGCTGTCACTATCACAGTGGCCCTCCGCCAGGTCTTCCACCACCCTGCATCACAGTCTATTTACCTCCTAGTCTGTGTCCCAGATGACTGAACACTGCTGCCATCCTCATCGAGCACCTGCCCAAGTCCGTTCCCACGGGGCAGCCTCCTGCCTTTCCTTGGCCTTTGTGCTCAGCTCTCTCTCCTGCTTTCCCAGATTCCATGACAGAGGCATTGATGGAGGTCTCTGTGCTGCATCCACCAGGGTCTTCTGCCCTTCCGCACTGCAGACAGACCTCCTGCCTCTTCCCTGCCTTGCTTCCACCTGTGGAGTTAAGGCTCAAGTTCTTTCTGTACCATCCAGGCTCACAGTGCACACACACACCCAGACTTCCCTGAGCTCACCGAATTCTTCCGTGAAGCTCTTTTGCCTTATGGGGGTAGGGTTCATTGCAAGTTGGAATCAAGGTCAGGAGAGGGGTCCGACTCACCCCACTCCTGTCCTCTGCCCAAAGATGGGGTTTATTCAGTTGCCTGACAGCATGAACCCCAGACTGGCTTGTGCCATGTGACTTTAGGAAGAACCAAGGGTGACAGAGGGGTGCTGTCTGCCTGCAGCCTGCCAATGCCAGGGTGACATACCCCTCCCCAGGGGCAAGCGGATTGCTGGCTGCACTCAGCTTTCTACAATCAGCAGGGCATAAATCAGGGGCCTACAATGTCTCCTCTTTCCCTCAGCATCTTCTTATTTTATAGAGTGGTCATCTCCCAACTGCTGCTGGTCATGCAGATGGATAGCAAAAAGCTTCGAATAAGCTTCCCCCGTGCATTTGTATTTAGGCATGGATTACAGACCTAGATAACTCTACTCACGTATATCACAAGCATGAAAACCTAGAAGGGTAAGATTTCTGAGATATTGTTTGTTAAAAAAAATAGGACTTTCCTCCTGTGCTCTTTGGGTATCCTGTGGGACAGAAATATAAAGAAGATAGGAATGATTTCTGAAAATGAAGTCTTGATAAGGAACCTTCAGCCATTCCATTTATCCTCTCTTGGTCTCAACATATTCTCTGTCTTGTGGGAACAACACAAGAGGTCCTTTCTAGCTCTGCTTAAAAACAAAGCCAAGGAAGAGAAGAGAAAGGAAAGCAGCCTGGACACAGTGATACTGGGAGCTTTGGGGCCCCTGGGAGGGTGTTTTTCAAGGGTGTCTCCTAATCCACCTTCCCCACCTTTCTGATGACTTGGCTTTCAAAAGACAAGTATTGGGAAGCAGGATCTGCTTTGTGAGTGTGACACTGAGCACCAGGACCTCGAGGCACTACAGAGACAGAGTGGGAGGGAGAGACTAAAGGAGCGAGAAACAGAATAGAATAGACTAGGAGAGGAGAGGAGAGGAGAGGACAGGACAGAACAGGACAGGACAAGACAGGACAGCACAGCACAGCACAGCACAGCACAGCACAGCACAGAAAAGGAAAGTCTCCTCCCCTAGCTTGCAAACTTCCTTAAGGCCTCGATTGTCCTTCAGTCCCAGGGACATCAACACAGAGAAGTAGCTCACAGAGCTCACAGAATGATCCCCGTAGTGGAGCAGCTGGCAGCAGCAGAGCAGGTCTGCCCCAAGGGCAGGGAAGCAGCTGGCTGGAGCACTGGCCGCGGGGCCTCTACCATGAACTTCCCGGTGCAGCCATCCTTAACCCTCTCACTGTTTTGGGCCAGGGTTGTCATTTCATAAACAATGATTCCAGCATGCTTGCCCAGCCCCCCTCAGTGGGCTTGCACAGCATTCTTAGACCTTGCAGTGACCTCTCCCCATGATCTCATTCTGTGATGCCCTAATTCTTCAGGCAGACACACTCATTTCCTAATGACAAGGTTCTGTTGCTATTCAAAGGAGAACGAGCTCAAAACTAGCCTTGGTGTGATTTAAACTGCTGCCATCTAGTTAGAACTGACCGGATGGTATGAAATGAAGGGTAGAAGCCTGCTGAGCTATTTGCACCAGCCTGGGCAGCTGTGGAGGGAGCTGTGACCGGCAGGGCAGGATCCTTACTGAGAAATAGCTTTGAGAACCATGCAGTCTCCATCTGAGCACCTTTTTTGGCCTGGGCATAGTTTACTCATACCAAGAGAACTCAGGAGGGAGAAGGTGGCCAGAAGATTGAGTAGCAATAAGATCGTAAATAACTGGCATCTGTTGAGTGCTTTATGGGTTATAAAGTATTTCCAAATATGTTATTTCATTCAACTTTCATAAGAATCTTCGAAATATTGCTTGTGATTTTAATGAGTACTACTATTTTTCCAAAACTTGACACATATAGAAGTACTGTAGGTGTTATCTCCTAAATCCACCTCAGTAAATGAAAGGTAAATATTCTTATCCTTACTTTATATTTGAGGAAATAGTGCATAAGTCTTTTTAGTAGCTTTCCTAAGAATATGCAGCCAGTTAGAGGAGATGCTGGACTTAACCTAGGCTGATGGACATGACTACAAACCCATGTTACAGATAATTAAACCAAGACCCAGAGAAAAAAAGCTATTGCCAAGTTGTCAGTGCAGGACTCAGTATAATTTTTCAGAAACCCATGTCCTATGTTTCTGCAGCCCTTTAATCCAGTAATAATATGTATTTGTTTTCGGCTGGCAGATTTGAAGGGGATGAGGCTAGGAATGACGTGATGCAGATTCTAAGAGTGAAGTCCATGCAGGGGTGCAGACCCAGACCTAAGCGCATGCCTTTCAGTGCATAAAGATGCATCAGACACAGAGCAAGTGACTCCCAGGAGGGCCCTGCAGGAAAGTGCCAGGCAGCTCGAGGAGGGCTGAGCACAGGGGCTATTGGAGCTGTCCT